GCTCACACTTAGTCTGTGTTTCATTTTTACTTCTTGAGAAGTTCAGGTAGGTAGACAAGAGGGTCTCTGATTCTAGATAAAACCCCTCTTTCAAAGAAAAAAATTAACATTCACGTTAGAGTACAGTAAAACTAAGTTACTAACATGAGATGCAGGTAAACAGCATTTTCTTTAAATAAAAGAACAATGCTAGGAGTAAGTACTCAGTATTCTGAGTAGGTCTATTTGGCTTGGATATACAAAAAAAAATTTATTTTAAAAAGTCACTCTATTAAAATACAGGAGTGTGTATAAATGAAAAGATAGGTTAAAATTACAATTAAAATGAAAGTACCTATACATATCCTACATATTTGATTGTGATAAAACCTAGACTACAGAAGTTAAAACACGCCCTGTCCTCTGGAAATAATGTTCAAATATCAATTTGTATATATGATTTAGTTTTCCATAATTAATATAGACTCTAAGTAAGTGCAATAGAAGGCAATGAGTTCATGGAACACACAGTACATATTTTAAAAAATAAAACAATTTCAAGCATGCAAAAATGAGGTGAGACCTGAACAAAATAAAGCATAGTGATTCAATTATAAATCTTAGATATCTTTCCCATTTTGTTTTAAAGCTTGACATTATTTCTAATTGAAACATATAAACCTCCATATAATAAATTTTCTTGTGACATCGTTAATTTCATTTACATGATGCTCATTAGGTACCAAAGTAAAAGTGGAAGAGGATTTTTTTTCTGTTAAGCCTGTCTAAATAATATTTTAAACCCATTAACTTTTTACCTTCCCATATGATAATAATGAGCATATGTTTAATTAATCCTTAAAACCATTTCATTGTTTCCAGTGTATATAATGGTTGCCCCCATAGGTAAGAACCACTTTTATTAGTTAATTCTCCTCTATTTTTCTAGCATAACACATTCCTTCAACCTAATGCACATGACATTTTTGAAGATTCATTTTCACATTAAAGGAAAGTTAAATCTATTTGTATTTACCTTTTTGAGGATCTGACGTATTTGAAAAAAGTTTTGAATTATTGGTGAATTTTAAGGTGGGCTGTGGAGTTATGTTTTCTTGGTAGGGTGTGAAAGCAGCAAAGCTTTCACTGGTTGTGGTAAGCCATCCAGTTGGTCCCATTACCACGGGGGTCACAGATCTGGTAGTTGATGCTGGAGGGAGGATGCTAACTGTAGAGGAACTGTTGTCAGGGGTGTTCATGGTGTCATTGCCCAAAGACCAACTTGTGTTTTCTGATGAGACAGCATGTGTAAAACTGGGACGAGCTGAGACTGGCAAAAGATTTTCATTAGTTATAGATGAATTCAATTTAGAAACAGAAACACGAATCAAGGGTGGCATTGTTGAAAATGTGGATATGGGTCTTGGATCTTGAGAAAAGTTGTCTTTTGAAACATTACCACTGGAATCTATCTTTCCATAGGTTTTGGTTGGATCCAAAAGAGTGGAATTACTTGCCTTGGAATTGGAGGCATTTCTATTTACATTATCTGAAATTGCATTTACTTCACTTAGCAAAGACATAGACTTATTTTCCATCATTTTCAGTCTTTCTGGATTGCGTTGTGATATGTTTTTTTCTGTATTTTGTTCCTCATAGCTCCCAAGTGGCAGTAAAATAAACAAAATTGAAATCAACATAATTTTGGCTAAGGTCAACATTGTAGCTTTCATTGATATTTGTTTTATTAAGAGGAATCTGAAAGAAAACAATAATCATTTGAATTATTAAATGAAGTATAACAAGTTATTTAATAGATATACATTTTTACAGTGTAAAAAAAATCTAGAAACATAATGTTGAAGAGACTGTGTGGTATTGCCAAAAATTATGTTTTGAGGTGAATTATTTATTTAAACTAGTGTCGCTGAGCTCTATTATATATGTAATGTTCTTCCTTCCTTCTAAGAAAAGAACAAGAAAAACTTTGTCAAGCCAGACATCCCTGTTTCATAGATCATTTAGCTTCGGATAAATTGAAGTATAAATAAAAATTTAAAAAATATAAACACATATACCTGGATATAGACATATAATTATACATCTATATGTATATAAAACTATGTACAGACTGCTAAGTAAGATTGATAGAATATTATAATTAGAGATGTTAGGGATTGATGAATACTTAACCTATTTAGGAAAACATGTTCTTTATAAAGATGTACTTTTGAATGTTTTCATAAGAATGACATTACCAGTTACCACACTCAGTGTGTCATATATTAGTTCTATAAAGTAAGTCAGAAAGTCCCCTGGATACATTTCATTAGTATCTAGTTTGAGTTATTTAAATTTGAAATTAATACTATTTTAATAATGTTTTCAACTTCACGATGTCCTTCTTCCTATTTAATTACAAGTCGAGGAAAATTAAAAAGCTTTTTAAGTTTCAGAATATACTTTATTCTTTTACCCTTATTTTATAAATGAAGACTATGTTTGGGGCATATGAGAAAATTTCACCTCATCAGATGATGGTGGAGTTGCAATGAAGCCGGGGACCTGATGTCTAGTCCCAGCTCCCACTTCTTCCTAGGTGCAGAAGGGCCACACTGACTGCACAGAGGACGATAAAAGAAAGTGATTTAGAGTCAGGTTTCTATTAAAAATTTGGCTTCTTTTATCAATAACCAGTGAAAAACTATCATCCTAACATGCAACTGTTTTGACATTGTTATAATATCTAAACCGACTTCATGTATTTGTTTTGAAGACTAACAAGTTTTAAGAAAAAGCACCCTGAGCAATATCTGGCCTAGTGTTCAAATATAATATCTCTGCAGTGTCCTAATGTTTACAAAGTTTACCAAATGTGTCATCTCATTTGCTCTTCATCGTGATCTCTTGAGAAAAGATGAATAGCTTGTCTTATGTCTGTTTTGTAGATGATGAATGTGAGGCTCAAAGAGGCTAGTAATGAATGAAAACTAGCAAATGAAAGTATATATAAAAATTAAAAAATGTAAACACACTGAAGAGACAATTCTGAAAATCACTTTCACAGATTTTACCTGATTAGGTGCTGAAATTTAAAAGAATTTTAGTTGAACATTTATTAGTTTAAAAGTAGTAGGCTGTTCGTCCAGCAATAAAGTCTTAGAACTGAGTTCGTGTTCTCTGTATTAGACCTCATTTTTTTTACTAAAAGCTTCCAAGTTGATTGAGATAGGGAAAAGGAAGAGGTACAACTGCTGGATATACACATATGTGATATGTGTATAGTTCCCATATGGCCTGCCATTTCTCAAAAATTCTGTCGGAAATTTTCACCAGTATTTTCAACATTGTTGATTTTTCATAAGAGTCTAAGGGACTTCTAAACACTTCTCTGATTATCTTTTTAAAGTATCTCCTACCTTCTATTTAAAGATTTTACACAGAGCGATACAATCTAAGTATTCTGCTCCTGATAGAATGTTTTCTGCAAAGGTTTTAAAAAGCAGTCTGTTCCTTTGGATCCCAGAGGTTTTAATGATGTATAATATCTTCCATGCCCTAGACTAATGACTTAAGAAAAGTTCACTTAAAAAGAAGGCAAGCAGACATAAAGGATATTACAGCATTATGAGTCTCCAGCCTAAGTATCCACTGGTAACAGATGGGATAGCGTATCATGGGACATTTGTATGGTGAACAATCACAAATTATCACTGGGTGCAAGACATGGGGAATATCACAAACAGATTGCACAGGTTAAGACTCCATGCATGTTATGTGATTTCCTACACATATAGTTCAAGAACAGGCAGAGCCTCACTGCATTAAGGTCAGAGAGTGGCTACTTATGGGGAGAAGACAGGGTCATCTAGGTGGGGCTTGGCAGGGGCTCCTGATGCACTGGTGATACTCTGTCTTGATAGTGACTACACAGGTGCATGCCTTTGTGGTAATTCTGTTACATATATTTTATTTACTTTTCAATAATACCCAGTACAAGGTCCTAAATATTATTATCATTATTGGAAAATATGTTATTACTATGCATTTCTTATATCACAGGAGTTACACATTTTCCATTTAATTCTCACCAAAACAACCAAACAAGAAGGAAGAGTTTATATCCCTATGTACAAATGATTAGAAGGCATCCAAAGAATGTAAATTATCTGTCCAAGGACTCACAGCTAGTGACTCAAAGAGGTTAGGATTCAAACCCTACCATGTCTGAGCAAGCTCTGGGATGTGTAGTCATCCCTCAGTATCCATGGGCTGTTGGTTCCAGGACCCCAGGAGAATATCACAACCTGTAGATGCTCTAGTCTCTTACATAAGATTGTTAAATTTTTGCTTATAACCTAAACAAATCCTCCCATATTCTTTAAATTATCTACAGATTACAGACAACCCATAATTCCTAAAACTGTGTAAACAGTTGTTACTGTTTCATTTAGAAAACTAATGACAAGGAAGAGTCCATACACACTCAACACAGCTGCATTTTTTTCTGAATATTATTAATTCTTGGTTGAATCCATGGATGCAGAACACACAGATGCAGACGGTCACCAGTATTCATCTTTGTAGTATAGATTGCAAAGGAGTATAGAATTTGGTACTCAAGTGCCTTTTCGAACTTCATTCCAGCATTACTGTTTTAAAACAGTCTCTCCAAATGTAACTGTTTAGAGCAGAGTGGTTTATAATCCCATTTAAAAAATAATATTGGAACTATAGAGTCTTCTACTTTAATTACCTCTCAAATACACATACTTTACCCTACTTGAAGGAATCCCAGCTACTTGAAGGAATCCCAATAAATGTCTCTGTGTTTTCTGATGGACACCTTCACAATGGGGTTTAGTGATTCACATTAACAAAACATGAGTGATTATTCAAAGGACCTATAGGTGACCAACATTTCACTAAGTGAATAATTCACCAAACACATTGAAAATATGGTTCTCTTCAGTTTAGGAATAATCACATGTACCTTTCCATAAACATCTTCCTGTTTTGAACCCTGCAAGATTGGTAGCAAACCCGAAAATTTTTTTGCATTATCTACTGCCAGGAATCTTCTTTGTGAATTATTCTTAGTCACTCTTTCTTACAATAATTATAGTTTGATTTTCTTTCCCTAGCCTATGCAATTTGCCTCTTTACTTTTCCTCAGACTGCCCATCCCATGGGAACAGGACTTTAGTTGCTGTTCTACTTTTCTTATAGTGTTACTTGAGGAATGAGGCATTGAGCTCTCACTCTCTTCCCATATCGAGAGTCCACATATCATGAGCCAACAAAGTGAGTTTTGTTGTTCCTATTTCACCTCACCTGTGACATTGAGCCACCAAGGGGCTCTCTTGTTCCTCCATCTTACTTTTGATTGTAACTTGAAAACCTAGGGTATCTACACCCCAAATGAGTCTAGTGTTCTATTACTACCTATAATTTATCCCTTGGGAAATGAAAGAAAGGGAAGTGAGGGATTGGGTAGTATATTTGAATGCCATTTACAGTTTATTTGGAAATCAGTGCAGCTTTGGAAAGGCATTTGTGGAAAGGCATTTGTGACTTATTCCTGTTTTCCTGATGTTGCAGCAGAATACAGCACTGCTTCTGCTACCTAGCTTCTAAGAAAACCAGGCTACTACATCTCTTACTTGTTTATCTTTCATTTGAGCCAGGAATCAAAGTCATCAGCTAATCAACTACAGCCCTGAAGTTTTATGGGGGCAGAGACCAAATGATTTGGGTTAAGTTTGACCCCATATTGAACTGAACAAACATGTTTTTAGCAAGGTGGTCCAAGAGCTCCACGGGGCAGTAAAGAAAATCTGCATTGTTCTCTTTGCATTTTCTTTTCAGCCTCTCCACATCACTAGAGTTCAGATATTTAAACTACAGTGTATACCTGTTTTAAGCTGAAAATTATGCTACATTATGCATGGCATACTTGAGAGTACCCAGGCTCATCTGTCAGCCAAGAACAATGTGAAGGCAGATAGAAGGTGGAATAAAAGGAAAGGGAAAGAAAATCAGGAATACCAAATAATGTCTATTTGCCTCTCCCAGCCCTGAGTAGAAGCAATTTTGAGGGTGGGACCTCCAAAGAAGTCCAGGAGGAGCAACATAGGAACAGAAATGCAATCATCACAAACTTAAACAACTTTGAAGAGTATAATTATAAAGGCAACAGAAAAAGAAAGAAAATCCAGCTATTTTGATACTTTAAATGCAGATCCTAAAACCTCTGTATATATAGAGATATTTGGGTTTTTAAATTTTTTTGTGTTTTGTAACTTTTAATATAGACTTTAAAATGAGTGAGTTTGCTTTTTAAACTGTACTCTTGCACAGAAAATGAACACTATTTTCTGCCTGTTTGTATTGACACTGAGAGATGGTTTCACATTACTACCTTTGTTTGGAGAGCTACTGCAGGTAATGAAGGAGAAAAAAAACCAAATTCTGGCCATTAAAGGGGGCAAACCTTCATTCTGCGTGGAATTATGCTTCTGCTTAAAGGCATAACATCATTCTGCCCAGCCTCTGAGCAGTAACTGAGTCATACCCATTTTATACCAAGCTTTGAAAATAAAGAGGTGCCCTGGTTTGTATCAGGTAATCAACCATTCAGGGAAAAAGAAATGTTATTCTAAACTCCATCAAAATAAGAAATTTTAAATAAAATACCAGTTATACTCAGGAGATAATATGAAACATGTTTCTGTAGTGAAATACCTAACGAGTATACCTTGTCCCCACTTTTCTCCCAGTTGCTTTTGGTCATTTCTTGCTATGAATCTTAGTTTATAAATGATGATAGACAGGTTTTGTTTTTCCTTGTTATAGGAACCTCAGTCTGGCATGTAGCTAATACTCCAGGTAGACTTGAGTTTTATTCTGAGTGGTCTTTACAAACTTGGGTGGTATTTTCTTTTCCCTACATAAAAGAGTCATAATAAAATGAGAGCATTAGATATTATGCTTCTAAATATGCCTCTTTTTCTATATTTTTATCGGTGCATTATACTTATATATAATGATGGGAGTTGTTACATATTTGTATGTACACACAATATAAAACAACACATCTATTATAAATGGTGTTAGAAGGATGAATAAGAATTCAGAATCTAACTGTACCTAAGAACTTTAGGTCCATAATTTTTCATTTGATTAAAAAATAAAAGACAGCATGGCTTTTCTCCCAGAAAAAAAATAAATTTTAAAAGTTTATGAATATTATTCTAGTAACAATTCTGGCATGCACAAATCCCCCCCAAATAGAATGTCATACTACTTGCTGACTTAGGAGTTCTCAATCACAAACTTCAGTACTTAAAAAAATGAGTGGATAACTATCATGCTTAGAAAGTATTGCCTCCAAAAGCAATGTTCAGAATTCATGATTCCCAGCATGGGATTTTCAGCCTTCTATCATATTTCAGTGTCTGTAGGAATAACTTCTATGGATCAGATAAGAAGTTGGTCAATTGGAAATAGGCATCCTTTTAGTATAAAGAGCCTAAAATCGCCACACACTGAAAATAACTTTAAGAAATCTAGTCTACACCTTAAATGCATGAGATATTTTCCATGGGATGTCTAACTGACTTAGCCTTTTAAATTTCCAGCAAGTGCTAGACACCTGTATTTTTCATGCTCAAGAATAATTATTTGTACAACTTTTTGCCAAGTTTTCAAGAACATGTTTGAAAAAGTTGTATAGAAGTTTATAATTTATTGCTTGTGAAGACTGTTTTTTGAAAAATGATACATGATACTGGGCAGAGTGGCATACACCTAGAATCCCAGTGACTCCCCAGAATGCTGAGGCAGTAGGAGCACAAGTTCAAAGCCAGCCACAGCAATTTTGTGAGGCCCTAAGCAACTTAAAGCAACTTACCAAGACATTGTCTCAAAATAAAAAATAAAAAGGGCTGAGGCTATACCACAGTGATAAAGCGCCACCCCTGGCTTCAATTCTGAGTACAAAAATAAACAAACAATACTTTGTAATGCTTAAACAAAGAAACGTAAAGCCCAAGTGCATAATTTAAATCTAAGCATTAAATTTAGTATTCATACATTTTTATACCTTTAAATATTTTGAGACCTTAAATGAGTTCTGACTGAAGGAAATTTTCTATTGTAGTTGCTTATGCTTAAATAAGTCTTTCATTTAACTCTTCTGCTGGTTTCCTCATCTGGCAACTTCGGCAATAATTCTTCAAGCTAACTCACTTAACAGTGCAAATCCTAATTTAGAAGGTAATTATCCGATGAACAACTACCTGTTTTTACCAGGGTCTCTGTAGCTACTTGCAGAACTTTTTTCTGTCACAGGTTGAGGCCACTTTGATTCTCTTTGATTAATAAGTGAGAGAGAGAGAGAGCCCTAAGTAAAACAGCAAACACACACTTACCTCCAGGACTAGGATGTGTTTACAGACAGGAACTCAAATACCAAAGTTGTCCTGACTGGAAAGAATCTGCGGTGCATGAGAGAAAACAGATGGGTTAAACTGTGACTGTGCTACACTGAGGGAAAGGGTGCCAAAGAAGTGAAGTTAGGCGGGGCTGGCTGGAATGGTCTTGCTTGTGTAATAGAGCACCCAAGAACCTGACCGACCTGCTCCTCAGCCCCACACAGCAGGATATCACCTCATTCAAGCCTTTAAAAAAAAAAAAAAATCCAACCCTTTAGTTTTCATAGCTTGGTCGTTTTCTCTTTGGGGCAAGCCAGTTCTCAACAGCAAAACAAGGGCATTCATTTCTTGCCTTATGTGAAGAAAAGGACAGGGATTTTTGATAACTTCCTGAGTTGTATAAGGAATTTCTGACACATGCCAGGTGCCCTCTCTGCGCGTGAGGACACTGGAATGAGTCAGTCTCTTCACCTGTTGCTCTGGGCCGGCTGGCCCCACATTGTTCTAAATCATAAGCATATTTTTCTTTCCCAAACTAGTCTGCCCCATTTGTATGTGAGAAAACTAGAGAGAGAAAATGTAGTGGGATCAGTAGTGAGGGCATTTACCTTCCTATAGTGCACTGAAATTGGTTTGATAGAAAGTCACACTTAACACAAAGTGAAGGAGTGTGTGTTGTGGAGTGTTCCCTTAGAAATAATCACCAGAGCTAAGGTCAGGTTTCTTGCTGACTTTCAGGAATTTGGGGAGTCACTGGGGCCTATCTGAAAACGGCCATGTGATCCCAAGTAATTCTGGGAGCCTCCTCAGTGAAGTTGTTTCCATCCTGTGTTCTCATTGCTTTTATTCTCAATTTAGAAGCTAGAGAGTTTCAGAAGTGCCCAGGTAATGCTTGATTAAACACTAGGGTTGAATAGCAACCTGGCAAGCTTCCTTCACTTCCTTTCATGGTTTATGAAAGAGAGAAGAGTGAAACTGGGATATTCTCACATCAATATTTGGGGACTGGCGCCAAGGTCTGTATAGCTCAGTGGGCCTGGGGCTCATACTTGGTTTCTGTTATACAAGGAGATAGATTTCCAACTGCTGGGAGACAAAATGAAACTTTAGCTAAAATGCAGAAACTAATAAGCATCAAACTGAATGCAAAGAATCTGCCCAGTTAATTGGTCCCAGGAAAGAACAAGGTAATTCTATAGGGTTATGGAATTTTCCAAAGCTCAAAGTGCCCTTCAGAGTTTGATTAGAAATTAAAGTAACTCCTGAAAAAAAACTCACTGCAAGGATATTTAAGCTATATCTGCACTGGTATGAAAAGCCAGCTAAATTTAATCAAACAACTGGTTACTAAGCAATGGTTTAATAGAATCCATCTCTGTTGTTATTTTCAGATTAACCAATTGCTAGAGAAAGAATCCATGGTGGGAAGGGGGTCTCTTCTGCTTGTATTTAGAGAACTGAATGGCAATTATCAGCATTGGATGTACCATATCATATCTAGTAATACATGTAAGGATATCATTACTCTTCTCTGACTTAACAGTGTAAGTATGGTCTATACCAGGTAGGGATGTTGTAAGCACTTTTGCTACAACACCGATTTCCCTTCCTTATGAGTCAAATAAGTGACCCTACTTCCTGAAGACCCTAGCTGAGCACTCCCAGAATCCTTTTCATATCCATAAGCAATTGATTAGAACTGACCCTAGAGACTAACCCTATTTACCTGTCATGAGTACATCAGGAAATAAAGTAAGAAAATGAAAACTATTCATAAATTTAATGCTTCAGTTGTTACTTAGCTTACTGAGTTGTAATTAGAAGCCTTGGTTAAGTTACCTGAGTTGGAACTAAAAAGAAAATTTTTGCCAAACAAGTCTCACTGAGATATATTTCTACGAATATACCGTGTTCTAGGTAAACTAATCCCATATCAGACCTCCTTTCTCCAGAGAAATTCAATAAAATAGGACAATTACCTGACAATTTCATCATCCAAGCCAGCTGAGATGACACATTGTACAGTAATTATGTAAAAAAAAAAATTGTACTTACCTACTATGGTGCCTTTCATTTGGTACTTGGAATTGCTTTAGGGTCATTAAGACAGGAATACTTGGAGGAAGAACATCTGCTTCTTTGTCTGAACTGTCAGTACCATTCACAAGAGGAATTTCTAGAAAATGAAGTCATGTTACTCTCACTGTTGTATCTGAAAACAGAACCAGGATGTAGCTTGGGACAACAGTACAAATGAAATCATGTCGTTCTTGATCCAATATAGTATCTTTTTGTCAAAATCCTATAGCATCAAATGCCCTATGTTAACGTCACACACAGGGAATTTGTTTGCATTAATCAGATTCATTGACTGTAGGTTATGAGTTTGAAACAAGTTATAAATTAAATTCACATATTGTCTCCCCACAGGGGCATGGGTACTTTAAGCATCAAAGAAATATTTCCTTAATAATAAAATAAATTACATTGTGGTTATATTATTTGAAGGTATTTCAATAATGTTCTTTATAAATAAAATTACCAGAAATTCATTTTAGAGTTCAATACATTTCATTTCCTTCAATACTCTGTTAGAAGAAAAATATAGGAGTAATTTCACAAATGCAAATAGCTGTTTAGTATATAAACTTATCTTTCCTGTTAAGTTGTGTGATGTTTTAATATGATATTCATGTAGCTATGACTTTATAGAAAGGTTAATCGCTTCATTTTTATGCTAAGGATATTTTCCGGCAGTTCTCTTTTTTGAGTACAGGCTTTGATATGGCATATGTATGTATGTATGCAAGTATGCATGCCTGCCATGCATACATACATTAACAGTGGGCTAAAAAGTTGAAACTGGGTAAATCACTAAAAATAAATATAGGATAGTTCTATGTGATTCTGGCATTTAATTCAGGCAGTAGCTCCAGGAATTAAATGATATCACCATGACAAAACCTGGTGCATTCCTGTCTACTCGTGTGAATATATTTTCTCCATTAATGTCTTTATGAGAAAAAAGAGCCGATACTGAAACAAAGCCTATCTCATTGCAGTCATAATTAATAGTATTGGTAAATACCTGAAGGTATTGAACAACAAACAAAATCTTCATAGATATCTTAAAGTGATGTGTTTATAATAAAATATTAGAGCATAAATTTATTATTTATTAATATTTGAAAAGAATTATATTGACTTATTGATTTAATAACTTTTTTAAAGTAAGATACTAGTGGTCAAAAGAAATCTTAAAACTTTTTAACTTACTTTTTATTGTTGTTCAGAAGATATGTCAAGATGATCAGTACAAATCTTATGAATGTAAATGTATTACAGATAATACTCTAAGGCATAAATAGAATGAAAATAGATTTAAAGATAAAATGAAACGATTAAAATGTGCAATTGAATAGAAGAGTTTATTGAAATTATCTTAAAGGATTATAAAAAGTATAAAAGATCAGTGTAAAATTATATTTTAAATATTCATTTATATAATGCACTGGAAATTGTGTTCTTTGCAACCATTTAAAAATATATGAAAATAAAATGTCAATGAAATTATTAAAATGTACAAGAGGATAAATAGTTTCACACATTTATTTTGGGAATCATAAATTTTTGAGACAACTGATATACTGTATCTATTAAATTCAGAATCCCAAATCAGATATTTTCAATAATTTCTGAATAATACCTAGTAATGCTTACAGACATTCATAGATTCAATATATTTTATGGAGTATTTTTTTCCATACTATTTAGGATCTAAAACAAGTTCCTACTGTGCCTTTGTATCTGCCCTTCAATTCTAGTAAAGAAAACAAAATAGTATGGGTTGCTGAAATGTGTCAGAAACATTTAAAAAGTAACCATTGCTTTCATCAGGGTGTTCCTTCTTGGTCACAGACTACACCTGTTATTAAAATGGCTTGTGGCATAAGTGGTCCTATGGAGTCTTAATTTGTTGTCAGAACTCTAGGGCTCCTTCGCTCAATGGGTTCCCCAAACTCATGAGTACCATGACAGTCAGGAGCTTGAGAGGACAAACTCAGGCCACCAGGTTAGAGTTTCCTTGTTGGATCCTGGTTTTCTACTTACAGGTTTTATAACCATGGTATAGTACCATCACATTTTCAAGACTGTTGTCTCATTTGCAAAATAGGGAGATTAATTCTTACCTTCTAGCTGTTTGTGAGAAGTCAATGAATTAGGAAAAAGTAGTTCCAAATTGTTTGACATTTAGTAGCCAAACTCAATTAGACCCGATTAATAGTAGATATTACAAATTTTTAATATGGTAAAAGTTGATACTTAATGTCAAAATTAATAAAAGTTGGGTGAAACCCTGCTAAGCATACAATCACTTGTATAGGATAATTTTCAATCTATCTCTTGGCATACTAGCTGCTCAATACATATCCATTGAATGAAAAAAAAATTAGTGAATTTTTCATTTTCAATTAATTCTTTTTTCCTGACTACAGACTTTCCATGACCACATTTTAAAACTACAGCCTCTTTTCCTTTTCCTTTGTTTTTTGTTATTATTATTGTTGTTGTTGTTGTTCTGGCTGATCTGCCCCTTGCCTATTTCTGCCATTACATTTTCTGCCATCTATCATACCCTGTATCTTATTATGTTTTTAAGTTATCTATTCCTATACTAGAAAGTTGGCCCATGAAAACAGACATTTTTGTTTGCATTTTTCTTTGCTTTATACAGAGAGCTAGGCTAAGATCAGGCACATAGTAATGCTCACTAAATATATAAATTCATGAATAATTGAGTGAATTATGTATAAGTAAATAAATACATTTAACAATAGTAATAGCAAAAATGAGTGAATATACTATACTTAAAACATCTGTAAGCTTACTTTTTTATTCTATCTGGAATATTCTTCCTATTTTTGGCTCATTCAAATCTGAAATCTGATTTTTTTTCACTTAAAAATATTCTTTGGATTGTATTTATGTGAGTGTATATGTGTTTGTGGTACTGGGAATTGAACCTAGGGTCTTAAACATGACAGGCTGGTGCTCTGACATTGAGATACAGTGATCATATTTGAATGTATATGTAGATCTTTGAGCCATTTCTTTTACATTAGGGATGGGAGTTTGTTCACAA